ATCCCATATGGGCACCAGTTTGAGTCCTAGCTGCTCTACTTCCAATCTAGCTCCTGGTTAATGCACCTGGAAAAACAACAGATGATGGTCCAACCACTTGGACCCTGCCACCCATGTGGGAGACCCAGATGGGACTCTAGGCTTCTGGCTTTGGCCCAGCCCAGCCCTGGCTGTGGTGGCCATTTGGATATAGGATCCCACATGGGACCTGGTTCATGTCCCGGCTGCTCCGCTTCCCATCTAGCTCCCTGCTTGTGGCCTGGGGAGGCAGTCCAGGATGGCCCAAAGCCTTGGGACCCTTCAAGCAGACCTGGAAGAAGCTCCTGATTCCTGGCTTCAGATTGGCTCAGCTCTGGCCGTTGCAACCACTTGGGAAGTGAACCAGCGGATGGAAGATCTTTCTGTAAATCTGTAGCTCTCTCTGCAAATCTGCCTTTCCAATAAAAATAAATACATCTTAACAAAAAAAAAAAAAAAGGCAGGAGAGAGCCAGGGCAGGTGCACGCAGGAAAGGAGCCGCAAGGGGAGTCCGCAACCTTCCACCCAACAAGTGCCAGATCACCCACTGCTGATAAGCCTGCATTTGTACCACAGTGGCGGGGGGAGATTTGTCTGCATCCATTACTCAGGACATACAATGTGTAGAGCAGTGGCTGAGACCAGGATCACAGATGAGCGGGGCAAGTAGTTCAAGTGGAAAGCCAAGCACTGGGAGGAAACAGAACTGAGTCGGGGTGGGGAATCAGCAGCAGGAAATGGTTTTAGAGACAGGAAAGTCAAGTCCCTGGCAGAGGTCAAAACAAGGACCCCCACGAAGGAGAGAAAAGAGCTGCACGGGTTTCTGGGGAGAGGGGAGATTCAAAGGCCCTGGGGTAGGCTCAGAGTGCTGGAGCAGCAGCAGGAGGAGGAAGCATGGTAGCAGGTGGCATGAGAAACGGAGGGGCCGTGCTGGCAGGCGGGGCCGTCCTCGACCGGGCCAGGTGACTCAGTCCAATTGTGTGATGAGTCACACACGCCCAGCCTCCTTCATGAGAAAATCAGCTGCAGCAGGCAGGTGCTTGTTGGCTTTGCTCCATGCTGGATGCCATGGCATTGCCTGGCACATGGGAACTCAGTCAGCAAGGTGGCGGTGACCACCAAATGAGTAAATCTCACCTTAGCAACAAAGGGACTATAACCACAGGCTGACATTGCAAAAACGGGCCACCAGAGGTCGCACTTGCTTAAAACAAAAAGTAGGGAGGAGCGCTGGGAGCCATGGGGACCCACTTGGCATCATGTCAGCTTCACCTGCTGACCCAATTTCTCCAGAATCCTTGCTTGATAACCCAGGTTCTCAGGAAACCTTTCTGGGCAGACCACTCTCCCACTGCCTGCCCTGTGACTTTGCACTATTCCTTCAGCGGAGGGAGGGAGGCTTCTAGAAACCAGTCTGGCTGGCACCTGTTTTCCTTGGTGGTCCCCAGCTGGTCCAGCTGACATCTAAGAGGGTCTCTTGTGACAGTAGACCATGTTGCCATCCCAAAGCTGGGTGCTAAGGGTCAGATCTCTGCAATTCTGTCCAGTCATTGACTCTGCACCCTTCTCTCTCAGAAGTGAGCAGTGGTCATTTCCACTCTTACAGCCTCCCCACACCCCCTCGGGCTCTGTGGAGGACCCAGCCCTCCCCGTCTGTCCACGTGGCTCGCACAAAGCTGACATCACATGCGTTCCCCCAGCATGGAGCACACAGCCCAGAGGTGACCAGCTGACAAGTTCCCTCCTCCTGGATTCAGGTGGTGGTTGGATCAGGGAGGAGTCCTTGACTCAGGCTGTGCCTGTCAGATGTGACCCTAAGACAGCTGGGAAAGGACACTCTCATTCCACTGGGAGCCCCAGGATGGGGCTAGTGGAGGAGCTGGTGCCATGATATAGCAACTAGTCTTGCAAGTGCCTGCATCCCATGTAGGCAGTGGTTCAAGTCCCAGCTGCTCCACTTCCCATCCAGCTCCTTTCTTGCCTGGGAAAACAGTGGAGGACGGGGTCCTTGGGCACCTGCATCTGCATAGCAGACCTGGAAGAAGCTCCTGGCTTTGGATTGGCTCAGAAAGAAACCATTTTCCTAAGCCTATTCACAACACTCTGGCTTTGCCCAACCTGGACAGCTGGGCAGACCCCAAAGAGCAAAGAAGGGAAGCCAAGTTTTGAGGACCCTGGGTGCCCCAACCCCAGCTCTTTCAAGAAGGGCAGTTGCTGGGGAACTGATGACATCACACACCTCTGCCAGCTCCACTGGCCCCTCTACCTAGACCCCTCCTCTCCACTCCTGCGCTGGGGCAGGGGCGCCCCCTGTTGGGAAGGGAGCGATCTGGACACTAGCATCTCAGTGTGTCCTCGTGGTGACACCTGACACCAGCTGCTGCAGTCCCTGGGGGCCAGCAGGGGACGGCCCAAGTACTCGGGTCCCTGGACTGTGTTCTGGCACCTGGCAGTGAACGAGTAGATGGGGTCTCTCCCACACCTCCAATAAATTTTTTCTTTTTAATTTTAAAATAAACAAAGCTGGGCTTCAGCCTCACTTTGCACAAACCCCAATCCTTAACACTCCAGAAACAGCCTCCCTTCCCCCACCCCGCCCCACCAAATTTCACAAAGGCATCTCCTTTGCTTTCACGTGGGAAACTTCTCAAGGCTGTGTGAATTCCCACAGCCATTTACCACTCAGCCCCACGGGAAGCAACAGCCCGTGGGGGAAGACACCTCCGGCCCAGCTCCCCCTCCCCCACTCACTGTGCGCCTCTCCCACCAGGTTCACTCTGCTCCATGCACGAAGGTGCGCCAGGAAGTGCTCTGCTCCGAAGGGCCGTCCGGCTCCTTGGGAACTCCAGCCTGCCTCCTGGGCCCGGCAGCAGTCAGCAGAGGCGGTGCTGTGCAGGGAGGCAGCTGTTCCTGCCCTCTGCGGCCCAGCGCCCTGGGCATGCCAGATAGCATCAGGGTTAATTTGTTCCAGGAAAACTTGCAATCTTTAACGTTTGTCCATACAATACGTGGTACACATCTATCCTTTATTTTTTTGAAATATTTCTGCTGGAAAGGCAGATCCACAGAGCAGATAGTTCTTTCACCAGCTAGTCCAGTTCCAAAGCAGCCACAACGGCCCGAGTTGAGCTGATTAGAAGCCAGGAGTTTCTAATCTTGCATTGTGAACGCAGGAGCCTAAGCACTTGGACCACCCGCTGTTTTTGCAGGTCATTTGCAGAGCTGGATCGGAAGTGGAACAGCCAGAGCTTAAACTAGCACCCATATGGGATGCTGGCATTTGAAGCTAGTGGCATTCACTCACATTCCTGACCCCTAAATAAATTTTTAAAAAAGGAATTGGTTGCCAATACTTCAGTGACTTTTCTGGCTTCTCTTTAGAATGAATGCTCCAACATGCCTGTCCCACTGAGAGCAGACACAAGGGAACCGAGATACGTGAAAATTGATTTGTAAAGATGAAGGGACTGCAGGTAAATTTAGGAGCTTTTGTGCCATCCAGGCTTTGGAGAACTGCCCCTCTTGCAAACTGCACTGCTGAAGCCCATCACTCCTAAAGCCTTCACTCCTTCCAGGGTAGTGCCAGGGCCTCTAGCTACAAAATGGGTAACTGTGTGCCCACAGCGCCCCCTGCAGGCAGTCTGGGACCAGCTCCAACCTCCCGGAAAGGATTCCTGGGGACGGCCAAGGCGGCAGCTTAGGATTGTATGGGCACGAGGATCCTTAGTTCTGGTCTTCAGCATCCAGCGAGCTTCTGACCACCATGGCCCCTTGACACCAGCTGCAGCTCCCGTGCCATCAGGCTGCTGTAGAGCCCAGGGCCACCAAATCAGTGGAGCTCAAGAGCTGCTCCACCTAAGGACGGTCAGCATTTCATGCTCCAATTTCTAAATGGAGTTACTGCCTGTTAAGATTTCTGTTAAAGGTTTAGGCCGTCACACCAAGTGGGACAAAGGACTGTCAGGACTGGAAAGCTAGGCCTACTGGCCGTTAACAGTCCAGGGTCCCTCTAGCACTCCTGCATCCCCAACCCTCCATTATGAGGCACCTGGGAAGAAAAGCAAAGCTGGTCTCATTTCTCAAGAGCCACTGTTATGCTGGACCCTACCAGTTAAAGGATCATTTCTGGAACAGACTACAGGGACACTGCTGTTACTGCATGTCAGAACTCCCCTGTCCTGCCTCCCACAGATCTCAAAATTATGTCCCCAATGCCAAGTGCAAGAACATTTTGATTTTTAAGGATTTTATTATTTTTAAAGATTTATTTTTATTGGAGAGACAGAGGAAGATTTTCTGTCCGATGACTCACTCCACGTGGCCACAACTGCTACAGCTGAGACGATCTGAAGCCAGGTACCAGGAACTTCCTCCAGGTCTCCCACGCAGGTGCAACAGGGAGCTAGATGGGAAGCGGGGCTGCAGGGATCAGAACCGGTGGCCATATGGGACTGTTTTTCCACTGGCAGTCTTGAGGTCTGGAGCCTGGTGGACCGGTCAGATATGCCTATGGCACCTGTGCTCCAGGTTCAGACACAGCCTACAAACAACCAGTTACAATCAGAATCACCCAGAGCAAGCATGGGAGGGACATCTGGCCAAGCGGTAGCCCCTCGAGCACCCACCCACCCACTCTAGGTGCATGAAACCTCAATCCATCTGCACCTTGTTTAACCTCACCTTGACCTAACACTGAGCTCTCCCAGGTGAAAACTTCACCTTCTCCCGACCGGACCAGCACCCAGAAGCCACCTGCCCCGGAAGACAGCTGCAATTTTGCCACTTCATACCTTTGCAGTGGGCGAGGATTCTCTCGCAGTGGAACAGGTTGGAAACGGGCATTTCAGCTGTTCCAGGGAGGACCAGGCCGATAACCAACACGCCATGGTCCAGGACGTCTGACCTAGAGGAAGGGAACAGGTGAAGCCAACAATGAAAAGGCTGGAGGAAAACCCAGCTAGCCAACAGGAAGTGAACGAGAGGCCAATGCATCAGACGAAACTGGCTAAAAGTTCAGGTAGATCAACAGGGTCGATCTGATGGGGAAAAAAGCTCTGTCATCAGCTGCAGAGGCCTGGGGGGGGTCCCCCAGAAAGCACAGCGCCCCGGGGGCAGCCACTTACCCGACCCAGGATCCACCTCGGTCCACTCAGAGCCATGTTCTCTGCCAAGACCAAACCTGAGATTGAAGCAGAGAAGAGCTGCCGTCAGCAAGATGGCCAAGGGAGCAGAGGGGGTGGGAGCTGCTGCAGAAGCTGGCAGGTCAGACAGAAACTGGCTTAGAGAAGTTAGATCAACATGGTCGATCTGCCGGGGAAAAAATTCAGTCATCACACATGCCAGCAGGGGGCCGGGGAGCCCCCACCCCGTCAGTCCCCAAACTGTGACTAATTACTAATAGCAATAGCAAAGGCCTAGAATGCCTTCTCCGTTCTGGGATACAGTTGAAGCAAAACACCCAAAAGGCCCAGGGTCACTCTGCTGTAACCACTTTAAACTCAGGTGCCCAAGACGACTCCCACCACTTCCGAACCACAGTAGCCATCTGGGGAATGACCTAATACAGGGCGTCTCTCATTCACAATAAACGGAAATTGGCTGAAGTGCTTGGGTCCCTGAACCCGCGTGGGAGCCACTGGCTGCCTCCTGGATCAACACCGGCCATCGTGTCATTAGCAAACTGCTCTGCTTCCTGCAAACGCTTGGGATGGCTAGCAAGATTCCAGGCTTTCTCCCAGACCCTTCCTGCTGTTGCACAGCTTAGGAACATTAAGAATAGATCAAAAGATCCCTCACTCTGCCTTTCCAATCAAGGAAATGAGACGGTATGCTGGCTCACCCTCCACGTGTTTCGGATTGGCTCAGCTCCAGCCACTGCTGCCATTTGGGGACTGAACCTGCAAATGCTTTGTCCTCTTCCAATAAAGTCTTGAAAGAAAGAGGCCCAGCAGTTGGGTCGGGCTGCCACGTGGACACAGCCTATGTGGCCAATGGCTTTGGCCTGGCCTAGCGCCGGCGTTCGGGCGTCCTAACTGCCTCTGAAGTAAATGATCAGTTTCTTCGAAATAAAAGCTCCTAACCTTCAGTTGCTGAAGTAGCCAACTCCACCACTAGTCTTTCCCCAAGCCCCCGGACCATCAGCGGCTGGGCCAGGAAGACATGCGCTCACCCGGAGATCAGGAGACCGCAGACGGAAGGTGTCCACATGGGGATCTCAAGGCAGCCGGGCGGCCATCTCCGACAGCCCTCCTGTCCTCTCCGGCCGCGCCAACCTGGGAAACAAAGAAAGGATCTGCCGCCATCTTCCCAACGCGGGACCCGAACGCGGGCCTGGGAGAGACGGCCTGTGGCTGGCGCATCAGAACCAACTGGCAAGTATTCTAAGACTTCTCAGCATGGTCGATCTGATGGGGAAAAAAGTCAAGTCATCATGTACGCCAGCCGCTAACCCAGTCCACTCCCCAGGGCCTTCACTCGGACTCCCAGGACCCAAGAGACAAAGAATACAAACTATCGGGGCTTCCACTCACCACGCACGAATTCGGACTCTTAAATTCCGGCACCATTCTGCAACACCTGTCCGCACAACGGAGAAACCACACTGCAAGACACACCAGCGCGAAAGGAAGTCAGGAGCGCCAGGCCGCCCTTATATAGGCCCAGAAGGGGGTTGCGCCTGCGCACCGGGCTCGAGCGCCGCGCGGGGACCCCTGGGAAATGTAGTCTCCGGGTCGCCCAGCTCGGAGCGCTCTAACGGTAGCCTGGGCGGCGTCTAGCCCCGCCCTCTTCCTGGTACTCTGGGGGCCACCCGAGCTCCCCGGCCTCGCCGCCATGTCGCTCCTCCAGCACACGAACCCGCTCGCCGGGTTCCCCCTCTTCCGAGGCCGACGGTGGCCTACGACGGCCTGGGTGACAGTTAGCCCGTCCCCCGCAGTGCTCTCCCCTCAGCCGCGCCCTCCCGAGCCCGCCGGCCCCACAGCTGAGGGGACCTGAGGCGACACCCCCGCGGAGGCCCGGCTGGGCCAGGCCCCGGCTCCCTCCTCCTATCGCCTCCTTCCCCTCCTTCTCAGGGACTCCGGCCCAGCTCCTCGCCCCGCCCAGGGCCTGCGGGGAAGGGAAACCGAAAGTGCGCGGCGCCGGGCGGGGCCGTGGACCATCCTGATCCCGGAGCGCGAGCCTTCGGCGGCGGCGAAAGGACGCGCCGGAGCCCGGTGAGTGGCCCCTACCCCATCCCGGCACCTGCTGCTGAGCGCCCCCGACCTGCGGCGCTCGCGCTACCCTGCCACCGCCTCTGTCCGGAAGCCCCAGCACTTCCCTCTAGAGTCTTCCCCTGTTCTCTATCTCCCCATCACCCCTCGGCTTCCCCTCAGCGACCCCTTGCCTCACATCCGCACCTCCGCACTCCTCCCTGGCTCCCAGAGGCACCATCCCCGCCTCGCCATTCTGGGTCCCTCTGGGTTCTGACACCTCTCCCCTCCCCTGGTCGTGTGCTGGGCTCCCTCAGCACCCCGATTCCCCACAGTGGCTCGGCAGGCTCCCCCGCACCTCCCCGGCTGTCCCCGGGGTCACCTGCCATTCCCGACTCCAGCCTGGGGCTGGTGCCTTCCCTCCCAGAAGCCACGACCTCCAGCCGGCCCCGGTTCTCTCTGGACCCTTCTCGATCCCCGTGGGGAGTGCGGGGGCGCCTGTGTTGTCCCACAGCCCTCAGGACCCTGGAGACTTACCCCTTCCCCAGAACCCGCCCCTCCCTCCGCCGTCACCCCCATTCTCATCCCCCCCATCAGCGTGACCGTGTCCCCCATTTTCTTCTTTCTGCCTGAATTCACCAAAACGAGAGAGAGAGAGAAAAAACCCCACTTTCTTCTGTTTTCATAGCATTGCCTGTTCCTCTCTGGTCCCCTTTTGCTTTTTTTCTGGTATTTCTCCTGTTTTATGTCAGAATTTTTTTCGGAGCTTATTTTAATGGTTGTCAACAAGAGCAAGAAGGAATGTCCCCGACGGGGAGGGTGGGAAGAAATGAAAAAAAAAAAAAACCCTCAAAATGTGCCCCCCTTGTAGGTGGTGCTGGAAGAGCCTTGCCAAAAATACTGCCGGGGGAATATGTTTTTATGCTGATGAGAAAGGCTACCCCCCATGTGATGGCAAAGCCATTCACAGTTTCCAACCATGAATATTTTAAAACTCAGTGGCAAACATCCCCGGGCGAGCCCTGAGTCACCTTCTGTTTCCTGGCCCATATGATGTGTTCCTAGGACTGAGAAGTTCCGGTAAAAGACTCCTCCAGCCCTTCCCTGCCCGTTGTGAGCTGGTCCTGAGGAAACAGCACCCTGTGGATGCCCCAGGCCTCGGAGCTCCTCAAACATGTCATTTATTTCTCTAGATTCAGGAGAGCAGATGACTTAATTATTTGATGAGCATTGCTCATTAATTAGGGGCAAGCCATAGGGTACTGCAGGCTTGGAGTACAGTATGATAGAAATGCCATGGCAGGTGGCAAGTGCATGGTGTTGGTTTGATAAAAAATGTGTTCCTTTCTGCCCTGGCAACATTCTTTGCTCCCTGGGAGAGGAAAACGAAACCTAGTAACTGATTAGGTAACTGGGCTAACAGCTTAAAGCCAACAGTAGCTTTCAGTGGAACTTTGTTATTCCTCCTACCCGGAAGAAAGTGCAAGGGCAAAAAGAAGGGGGAATTTGGGCGAATCATCAGATGGAAGATCTTCTCTGGCTCTCCTCTTCTCTGTATGTCTGACTTTGTAATAAAATAAGTCTTTTATTAAAAAAAAAAAGGAAGGGGGAATTTGATTACTTGATGTCACCCACATTGTGAATTTCATATTTTCTGTTGCATCTGGGCATTCACGGCAGGGAGGACTTGCGCCTGTGCTTTGAATCTGCTAGTCACTCTTAGTTACTATGTCATCAAAATGTAGAGGCAAGAAGGTGTTTGGTGCTGTTTGGTGGTGTGTCTCCAGAGCAGTGCTAACTCGGCCTGTGCCATTTCCCAGATAACTGAATGTGACGGGAACTTGGATGAATTCAAGTAACTCGGACATGGAGAACCGAAGGCCTCGCCCAGAGGCCAGGCCCAGGAATCCCCATACCAACCAAAGAGGTGAGCATGGTTTCTTAGTGCATAAGAAAGACGTTTTGGAAGCCAAAGAAAGAAATCAGGTTCCCTGTGAATGAGCAGGCTCGCCTAAAATGACCTGTACTCTCAAGTAGAGTACAACTTATTCCTTAGCTACCATACAAATTACTCTGAAAATCAGACAGCCCTGGTCTTTGCCAGAGAAAGCTGATGAATGATTGCAGTTCACTTCAGCAAAAACAGCGAGCAGAGGTCAGAAATAGAAGTAACTTGTCTAGGGCAGCACGCTCCAACCGAAAAGTAAGTTGGAACCGTGGTTTTTAATTTGCTAGTAGCATCATTTAGAAAAGTGAAAAAAAAAAAAAGAAATTTTATTTTTCATATTTAAGATTGATTAAATAAGTCTAATCTAGTGTCTTACTTAACCCAGTATATCCAAATACTATCATTTTATCCTAACTAACGAATGCAGTTCATTATCATAATGCTTTAGTAATTTTAATAATATTTTTATTTCCCCATGACTCCAATGTTCCCATTCTGAAATGTTACCACTATAAAAAATTATAGTGATATATTTTGGTGCTAAGTCTTCAAAATCCCATGTGAGGTTTACATGTCTTAATTTGGACTTGTCACATTTTGCATGCTTAATAGCCACCTGTGGCCAGTGGCTTAGTATTGAATATCACAGGTCTAGTCCTGGTCAGCAAAGCAAAGTTAGTTCAATGAAGAAGTTGGTCAGTTTGGCCGAAATTTTCTAAAGCAAAACAACCAAATGGATTCCTGCTTTCCCCCAAGTTTGCAATATGTTATCTGAGCTTCAGTTGTGAAACAAATGAGGAAGAGCAATGAGATTTATTTAATGGGCTGCATGATTGTTGAAAGAAGGGAAAACTATGCAATTTTTTGTTCCCCTAAAATGAATGAAATTACAATAGTAAAAGAACAACTTTGATATTTTGGGAATTTGAAAAGTAAACATGAGCATAATGATTACTCAAATTTTAGAGTTCAATTATATGACACTTAAATTTTGCCAGATACCCCTTTATGTGATCAAATCAAGATTTTTCTCTACATAGTACAAACCAGAAAAAATGTACATAAATGGATTTAGCATCTGATGTCTGGAAATGATCATTTAAAAAATGATAAGCATTTACAGCTTTCAGAACATTGTTATTGGGTCACTATATACAGTCTCACTTTGTTTTTCAACTGTCAGTGTTACTCTGCTATGTTGTATTAGCTCCAGAATCTGTTCACAGGAAAGGAAAGTGAAAGAATTGGGCTTTGGGTATGTTGGGTAAGGTTGCTTATGAAGTAAATAGCAGATCAGATCAGAGATCCCAAGTTTGGCCTTTTGAACCGGGTGTGTTCCCTGCGTCCAGCTTCCTGTGCAAGATTTCCCAATCAATAAGTATTGGGCCGATGCGCTCAGGCTTCAGAAAACAGAACTTAGTTTTGATTTTCAGTTTCCTGAATCTAAATTTGAGTTTCAGTTTTGTTTCCCTCCCCCCCCCCAAAAAAAAAACTTGGTTTTCAGTTTCCTTTATAGTCTACAGCTCAAAACGTAGCAAAGAAGGCTATATCTTCCTCTTTCCTACTCAAACTGCGTTTGCTGACATTAGGCTAAGTCCAGGTGGCATTTCCTTCCTGGTTCTATTCTGCTTGCCTGTGAAGAACTTTTACTGTAAAGAACCAGTGATTCTAACGGTGAATAGGATTCCCTGCTTCCAGCAATCACTAACACTGAATTTTTCTTTCTTTCTTTCTTTCTTTCTTTCTTTCTTTCTTTCTTTCTTTCTTTCTTTCTTTCTTTCTCTTTCTTTCTTTCTTTCTTTCTTTCTTCTTTCCTTCCTTCCTTCCTTCCTTCCTTCCTTCCTTCCTTCCTTCCTTTCTTTTCTTTCTTTCTTTCTTTCTTTTTTTTAAGATTTATTTATTTGTATTGGAAAGGCAGATTAACAGAGAGAAGGAGAAACAGAGAGAAAACTCTTCTTTCTGCTAGTTCACTCCCCAAGTGACTGCAACCGCCAGAGCCAAGAGCTGATCCAAATCCAGGAGCCAGGAGCTTCTTCCAGGTCTCCCATGCAGGTGTAAGATCCCAGGGCTTTGGGCTGTCCTCTACTGCATTCCTAGGCCACAAGCAAGGAGCTGGAAGAGAAGTGGAGCAGCCGGGATATGAACAGGCGCCTAAATGGGATCCCCCCAGTGCATGCAAGGCAAAGACTTTAGTCACTAGGTTACCACGCTGGACCCCGAGTTTTTCATGTGTTAGATACTATATCAAGCATTTTATAAACATTTAATCTTCACAACAGCATAGAAACTGGGAGATACGATAGAACTTGTACAGGGAGAAAGTAACCACACCAGGATTTGTATAAGATCTCTGGCCCTGCAGCTCTTGACCTGCCTGTTGTTTGGAGTCAGCAGCAGGCTGAAGCAGTGAGCCTGTCTGTCTGTCTGCCTCCTCTGAGACCTAACATCCGACTCCTAACGTTAAATGTGACAAGACACACATTTACTCTCTAGTTTGTTCTAGGTACACACACATTTTGATTTCTCTTCCCTTTTGGGGGGCGCTGTTTTCATCATCTGTGCAGCAACTATAATCTTTCATTTATTTGTGAATAATGAATTCATTCATTTATGAATACTATTAATTTATTTAATCATTTGTGTCTTTGATAAGAAGCATTTTTCCCCCTTTCAGTAAAAAGTGAACTCCTTAATTCTTTTGGAAATCGAGTGCATTTTCATTTTTATTCTGTTGGGTTTCCTTCCTCTTGATTTGTGTGCGTTTTCTCTATTTCCAGGCTATTTAGGGCTTGTGGATGGAGAAGTACCACCTAGAGCCAGAAGTCAGGCTAATAACCTGCCAGCCCATGCTGGCAGAGGAGGCGCCAGCCATGCCGGAAGAACCGCTAGAGCCAACCACCCTCCCATTGCTTACAGACCACGGGAAGAGAGATTTGCAGCTATGGGCAGGAACCCACATCAGGACCGGAGGACCCAGGATGGCTACACCAGTGATGAAGGCCAAGACCAAAGACCTGGTCCAGAACATGAGGCCAGGCGAAGGACTGGTCCCCAGGAGGGTAGAAACCGCAGACTGCCATGGCTAAATGAAAACGTCCAGCAGTGGCGGACCCCGCACCAGAAACCTGCGGAACAGCCACAGCAGGTGAAGAAGCTGGGCTACAAGTTCCTGGAAAGTCTCCTTCAGAAAGACCCCTCAGAGGTAGTCATCACACTTGCCACGAGTTCGGGGCTGAAAGAGCTTCTGTCTTACTCTTCCATGAAACCCAACTTCCTCGAACTCATCTGCCAAGTCCTCCGGAAGGCTTGCAGCTCCAAAATGGACCGCCAGAGTATCCTCCACGTGCTGGGCATGTTAAAGAACTCCAAGTTCCTCAAAGTTTGCCTGCCCAATTACGTAGTCGGGATGATTACTGAGCCTACTGCCGATGTTCGGAACCAGTACCCAGAACACCTGAGCAACATCGTCTTCCTCCTTCAAGAGCTCGTGAGCGTCTTCCCTGCCAGCTCCGTGCAGGAGACATCCATGCTCACGTCCCTCCTGCCGGCTTCTCTCAATGCTCTGAGGGCGTCTGGTGTGGATATAGAAGAGGAGATGGAGAAGAACCTGGAAAAGGTGCAGGCCTTCGTGGAACACCTGCAGCAAAAGAGACGAGAGGGCACGCTGAGAGTAGACACCTACTCTGTCCTGCAGCCGGAGGCAGAAGGCCATGTGCAGAGCTACCGGACCATGCCCATCTACCCCACCTATAATGAGGTGCACTTGGATGAGAGGCCCTTCCTTCGCCCCAACATCATTTCTGGAAAATATGACAGCACAGCTGTCTATCTGGATACCCACTTCCGACTCCTGCGAGAAGATTTTGTCAGACCCCTGCGGGAGGGCATTTTAGAGCTTCTCCAAAGCTTTGAAGACCAGGGCCTGAGGAAGAGAAAGTTTGACGACATCCGAATCTACTTCGATACCAGGATCATCACCCCGATGTGTTCGTCTTCAGGCATCGTCTACAGGGTCCATTTTGATACAAAGCCCCTCAGGTTTGTTCGCTGGCAGAATTCCAAGCGGCTGCTCTATGGGTCACTGGTATGCATGTCCAAGGACAACTTTGAGACATTCCTTTTTGCCACCGTTGCCAACCGGGAGATAGAGGACCTATCCTCCGGAATGGTCCAGCTCAGCTTCAATGAGCAGAGCCAGCAGCTGCTGGCCGAGGTCCAGCCCTCGGACTCTTTCCTCATGGTGGAGACAACTGCTTACTTTGAAGCCTACAGGCACGTCCTGGAAGGCCTCCAGGAGGTCCAGGAGGAAGATGTCCCCTTCCAGAAGAACATCGTAGAGTGCGACTCACATGTCAGAGAGCCACGCTACCTGCTAATGGGGGGTAGATACGATCTCACCTCCCTGATGGAGAAACCATCCACCCCTGGTACACCTGTGCGACATGTCGAGGGCTTGAGATATTCCAGAGTAAACGTCTTGGACCCGAGCCAGTGGCCATCCAAGGAAGCCCTGAAGCTGGATGACTCACAGATGGAAGCCCTGCAGTTTGCTCTGACAAGGGAGCTGGCCATCATTCAGGGACCTCCTGGAACAGGTAGGACACAAGGTTTCCGAGCGCAGGACCTCCGCCCTTTGAGTGAGGCTTGATCCCGCATTCTAGGTGGAATGTCTCATCTAGAACATCCCTCGCCAAGTCGCTACACAGTGGTTTCCCAGTGGGGACAATGAGTGCAAAGGCGCTAGCGGAACCAGCAAAGTGGTACAGAGGGTCAACTCCCCGTTGTAAGACCAGCACCCACATCTGAGTGCTGCTGCTGTCCTTGCTGCTCTGCTTCCAGCCCGGTTTGCTGCCATTGCACCCGGGAAAGCACTGAAGGATGACTTGGGTGCTTGGACTCATCATCACCCACGTGGGGGACTTAGTTCCAGGCTCCTGGCGGTGGCCTGGCCTTGCCCTAGCCGTTACTGCCATTTCAAGAGTGAACCAACAGATGAAATATCTCTTTTTCTCTTTCCCTATCAGTAACTCTTGTTTTCAAACAGTAAATAAATAAGTCTGATTTAAATAAGATTGCTATCAGTCAAACTTAGGGAAGGCTCATGATGCCTGTTTCACCACAGAGTGTATTCATTTGTTCAATTTTGCATTTTTTTTAAAAAAGATTTATTTATTTTATTAGAAAGGCAGCTACACAGAGAAGGAGAGACAGAGAGGAAGATCTTTCTTCAACTGATTCATTTCCCAAGTGACAGCAACGGCCCAAGCTGTACCGATCTAAAGCCGGGAGCCTGGAGCCTCTTCCGGCTCTCCCACATGGATGCAGGGTCCCAGGGTTTTGGGCTGTCCTCTGCTGCCTTCCCAGGCCACAAGCAGGGAGCTGGAAGAGAGATGGAGCTGGATGAGAAATGGGGCCACTGGGATCAGAACTGGCGCCCATAAGGGATCCTTATCCTGCATGCAAGGCAAGGACTTTAGCCACTAGGCTACCATGCCTGGCCCACATATTATTTTTATTTAAATAGTTTCAAATATATAATAGCACTATGTACCAAGCCTGATTTTTTTTCCTTTAATTTTTTTTATTATGTTTTTGACAATCTTTACATAGTTAATTAGGGTAAAAAGCTTCAAGGGCTATAGGAAAGTGGGTAAGACTTATTTCCATATTGTTTTCTTCATGTTTAAAGGGGGGTATTAAAGGAGAAGGCCCGGGCCCGGCGCGATGGCGCAGTGGTTAAGGTCCTCGCCTTGCACGCCCGGGATCCTATATTGGTACTGGTTCTAATCCCGGCAGCCCCGCTTCCCATCCAGCTCCCTGCCTGTAGCCTGGGAAAGCAGTCGAGGTCGGCCCAAAGCTGTGCGACCCTGCCCCCGCATGGAAAACCCCGAAGAGGCTCCTGGCTTGGGATCAGCATAGCATCGGCCATTGCGCTTACTTGGGGAGTGAGTCATCGGATGGAAGATCTTTCTCTCTGTCTCTCCTCTCTGTATATCCGCCTTTCCAATAAAAATAAAATAAATCTTAAAAAAAAAAAAAGGAGAAGGTGCCGGAGTCCAGCTCCAGCCGAGTTCGGAGCTCGGGAAGGGTGCGTGGAGTCGGCGATAAAGAAAGACACAGACACAGGCATTTGGTGCGTTCTTCCAACCGCTCAGGAAAAAACTGTCCTTTTTATTTTCTCAAAACCCTTCTCAAGCTTCTACACAAGCAACTATTCTATTTTTTTTTTCTTTTCAAAATTAAGGGGGCATGTACAGACATTTGGTCACTCTGTCTGTACTCAAGGCTAAGCAGGTGCTCCTAAAGATAATTTTGCAAAATACTGCATTCATATTCTTCAAAGCAAGCTATTGTTTATCCTTCAACAGTAGCCATGGAGCAACAGCCAGGACTCCAAGGCCAAGGCACATGCGATTATCTGCTAATCAGTAGTACTTTCCCACCACATTTTTACTTCTACAATTTACCCATCATTTAATGGGAAAATAGGTTATAAGGGAAAAAACCTAAAATCTAAAATAGAAACTTCAAATGTTAAATCTCCCTACAACTATAGACCCCTACAACCCCATAAACAATAAGACAATAATCAAAAGCATTTTTCTTTAATAAAAGCATCCTTAATCCTCTAGCTAAAAATTATAAAAGCGGCTAAAACAGTTACATTTTCTATATTCCAAAAAAATTGCAAAGACAGGCTAGCCTTTGAGATAACAATAACTATATTTATTGCCATAGCAGTTTCAGCTCTCACTCCCATCACTTGTATTAATATTTAGGATATTTTCAAGCCCCTTCCCAGAAGGTGTGCTATATGTCTGGGCCCGATTTCAGGGCAATGGGTAGGTACACAATAAGGTGTCCAGAAATGGCATGGGTTTAATTGTGCTCCTGTGTGTAAATTGTCAAAGGCCCACTCACCAAGATATTATCAGTGACACTAACTCTCAAGCTCACGTTGGTGATAAAAGCCATCCCACAGGGGCAAACACTGCCTCAATAGATTGCAAAATTCTTAGTGGGGTGCTTGAGTGTCCATGCAGCCAGGGGGTAAAACAGTATCAAGGTGGTCGGAGAGACTTCCGCCGGGCCTTGCCACACAGCTGGAAACTCCCCCGGGCCTTGCCGCACAGGGGAGCTGTTCTCATCACACCCTCGTGTCATCCACACCCACTGCGCGGACCCCAGCATCTCCCCCTTTTTTATTATTAAGTTGGAGGATGTGCAGTGCTCTGTGAGTGGCTTAAATCATGGAGCTCAAATGTTAGAAGATGACTGGGCCAAGAAACAACACAGAAAGGAGAACAATTAGCGTGATTCCCAAATTAATAAAGAAAGAAGAAAAGTTCTTCTTAGAAATAAAAGATGAAAGAGATTGTAAAAATTGATTAGCAACACCTCCCGTGGAAATGGCCTGAAGGTGAGAGTGAGAGGTAGTAGAATTTTGGGCATATAATTCTTGGATGCTAAAAATATTAGATGTACTATTCCATACACTATGGAGATGAGCTTTAACATCAATCCAGGAGACATTTGAGTAAGTGTAAGGCAGCGGAGTAACACAGATCCATTTTTAATTACTATGACAAGTGGCACCTAATCTAATTTTTAAATATAGAATTTCATTGCTAATATAAATTATTGCCTCTTCTAATAATTAGTCTAGTCTCTAAATTTTTATCAATACCTTCCTAGGTAAACAAAGCAAGACTAATATTACGAGAAAGGGTATTAACATGATGGGCTGTATGAACTTGCTCTGTCAGGGCAGTCACTGAAGCTGCAACAGATTCAATAAGGGTAATAAAGGAAGTGAGACTTAAAAATAAGGAAATCACAAAACATTTAGGATCTGATAAAGCTGTAGAAACTGATTCTAAAGTATAAAGAGCAGCATCATCATACCACAACTCAGCCAAATTTACAGGTAACCATATATATGAGGGTCTTTTTAAGATGACAAAAATATCAAGCATCAGGAAAAAATTAAGACAATTAGTAACAATACACAATACAAATTGCAATATTCACAGAGTCATTCTGGGAAAAGGAGAGGGAATCTCAGGATCCCTGTGTAAGGGAAAGATAAGTTATTTATCAGAAGTCCTTTTGGAAGGTAGCTTGAGTCCTGTGCAGGAATGTCTTCAGTGGTAGAGGGTAGATCAGTAGATGTATTTGTGATGTGTCCTCATGGCAGGTGTTGATCCTCTGCACAGACTTGGCTCTTAAAACATTTCCAGGTGGAAGTGTCTGTTTGGCCTCAGCAAGGGTAGCACTGAGGCTAGCAAAACTCTCTTCTGTTGTTTGTAGTAACATAAGTTTACCATGGTCTTTCAGATGGTTCACATATATAGATGGAGAATACAAGGTGGATTATGATAAAGATTTTGCCAAGATGACTAGGGAATATTTCAGTCACAGACATCTGTTCTTTCAAATAATATTTCTGTAACAACAAACTCCAAAAATCAATTAAAAGTATAGCAATTCCTAATCAGTAAAAACAGACAGTATGATAACAATTAAAATAAAAATTTCTATAATAATTCTAATTGGAAAAAAATGGCATAAAACTAAGATCTATTATGTGTCTATTTCTCATTTGAACTCAAGGAACATTGAAACCAAGCAGTAAAACACACACACACCTCTTTTTTTTTCTTAAAATACACTTTAGATGACTGTAAAAGTAAAATTTCAAATAATCGTAATAAAAGACATACATCAACACAGACATAGGTGGCCACCACATTCACTCAATTTTAAAAGCTAATGGTCCATAATGATGTCTTGTATGGACCCTGACTCAAGAGATTGTGTTGCACCCAGCCTCTTGAGTCCCAGATGAGTACTCAAAACAAGCAAATTTGAATGATGAGGTACCTGTATATAGGCAGAGGTCAGTGCAAATCCTGCGAGCCAGGAAGCCAGGACTGGCAGCTGGGGCCGTGTAAATCATCACGGTGGCCTCCCCAGACTACTGAGTCAGGCTCTAGAACCCAGGATGGCTACTACCCTCTGACTGAGGCCTCCAAAATGTTACAACGTGCACGAAAGATCATATTAGATGAATTTAAGATTTATTAAGGAATCATTATAAACCAAGCTTGGTGATAAGCAGTACCTATTAAAATTTAGTAAATGAAAAGTAAACAATGATAATTCAATCCAAATAAAGACCCTGTAAGAAAAAAATTGGTCATACTGAAGACCCCGATTCAATTATAATAGTAATATAAATTAGTTAAAGAGATACACAGTTAACAGCCTGGACATATTTATAGAACTATAAACATTTATATTTTTCTGGCTTTTTGGCCTGCACTACATTAGTGTCAAGCATTATTGTCTTAGACTTTTGGAAATACAGAAATTTGAATTAAAATTCTGTAAAAATTTTTTTTTTCTGTAGTAGTATTTTGATATAGCTAGCTTTGCTCTACTTGGCATCTGACAGTATCTTTATTCCAAAAGCCCATTCAGTTATTGTATCTACGAAATGAAATTTCTGAATTATTTAGATACCTATCAAGGATGCCAGGACTTATAATATTTAATTGAAATAGAATATCTTTATATAACACAATATGGATTA